AGGGCTCTGCCTCCAGCACAACACACCCCAGTCCCCCCTGCTCCATCCCATCACATCCCATGGAGGACACACCACACCCTCCCCATGGCATGGCCAGAACCAACCCACCTTCCTGGGGTGCTGAGCTCCACTGGCCACCCACTGAGCCCTTTTGGGAACCAGGAGCCACTTCCCAAAGATGCTCACGACGGCCCCTTCTCTTCCCATCCCATCCCTGGCACTTTCCTGCTCTGCTCTCCCTGCAGTCCCTGCCCTGCCCCTGTGCAGGGCCCAGGCTGGCTGGGATGGGTTTCCTGGCTCGTGCCTGTGCCACACGGGGCTTCCAGGGAAAAGAGAAGCTCCTGCTCTGTCTGGGGGTGAGCCTTTGCTGAGGGATGGCTGGCTGGGAGCACCAGGCTGTGCTGAGTTAACAACCTGCACTGCCCCAGGGGCACAACCTGAAATGCCCCTGCAGAACCAGTGACAGAGCCCACATTGTTCTCCAGCTGCCAGAGAAAATATTCCAATCCCTTTGGCAGAGCAGGTCAGGGGCTGTGAGATTATGGTATCCTGGGCCTTTGCCTATGGATTGACACTCTGTTGTACTTGGCATGTAGGCAGAGCTCTTTGTCATTAGTCTGTGTTTGTTGTGTTTCTTTCTGTGTTTTCTTTTTTTCCTGGTTCTGTCTCCATTTGGATTTTTGCCTGACTGGGAATGGGCCTGTGACAACACACTCACTGCTGGCTGTGCTGTCACCTTGTCTCCAGGTGTGCTTGTTTATTGAACTTGGGCAGAAAGGGTAAAATCAGAATTAGCCGAGAAGTTTGACTTTGGTTACGAGGCCACTTTGTGGGATGCTCTTCTTCCTTGACAAGGGTTTACAGGCCAAAATCTCCTCCAGAAAGCATTTCACTGGCCTTGCTCTCTCCAGTGCAGTGTTGACCCTCCCTGTATTTCTGATAAGAGGCTGTTGGGGAACATGGGGTTCTTCAAGGGGGAGGTGAGTGCAGTGCACAAAGCCAGAGCTAAAGAAAGACCCCTCCTGAGCTCCCTAAAGTCCTCCAGGCCAGGGTCTCTGTTCTGTGGCTTTGAATTCCTGCTGCTGGTTGCCGTGGATTCCCTGCTCCGTTTACAGTGTGGTGTTGCTCTGTAGCCATCAGCATCTGGCACGGCTGATATTTAGGTTGGAGGCTTAATCAGTTGTAGGGGAGAGAACAAAGACAAGCAACACAAAGCTTAAAGGCCGGCAAAACCTCCCACAGAAACCCAACAAAAGGCAAAAGGAATACAAGGGTTTCTTTCCTGCTTGGCTCATCTCCCCACTGAGACCCTTTGGGCACATTCTCCTGTTTCAGCATAGCCCTGAGTGTTTATTCATCACCAGGAGGCCACTGTTATGGCAGATAAACAGGGGAAACAGAGATGGGGTGGGATGGAGCGGGAAAGGGGGCCGAGATCACCTTGCGTCAAACTCAGAACTGTTTGGAAACAAACAGGCTGCTCCCTTCCCAAAACCCTGCTCTGCTTTGCACATGACCCCGAGGCTCCAGCAGGCAGGGAGGGAGGGAGGGAGGGAGGGAGGGAAGGAGGCTGCAGGTCCCACGTGTTTGTGTTTCCCTGGGTTTGAGCCACAGCACCGGGAAAGGAGCCTTTGCTTTGCCAAACACAGCAGGGAGTTTGCAATGGGCAAACACGGCCCAGCCACAGGGAAGGGGCACCGCAGGGAGTGAGGAAAGTAAAGTTCAGGTGTGTTTGGATCTGGATTTGGGTGCCTCTTTCCTGCATCTGCCCTGCACAGAGGTTCCTAATGCGATCTGTGCAATCTCAGGTGCTGTGGGAGCAAACTGGTGGGACGGGGTCCTGTCATGTCATGGGCTGAAATGCATCTGGTGTCAAAAAGGTACCTTAAACACGTCACCATATCTGCTTATCTCCTCACATCACCCTCTCTTCTCAGGTACTGGTTAGCCCTGTTGACCTTCTGGAATAGGGTCAGAGCAGAGCTGGAAAAGTAAATGGGATGGGGTCTGCCCTGCACCTCGTCTGCAGAGTGTGCTGAGGTGATTCCCGTGGCTCCAATCACGTATTTCAGCAACTTCAGGGATCATACAGACTCTGGAACAGAAACAAGGTGGAATATTTGTGCAGTCCCCATCATTCCACCTCTGTCCCAGTCCTCAGCGGGTTCCAAGCACCACAAGGTCCTGCCTGAAGCTCCCAGTGATCCTACTGGAGTATCCTAAAATGCTGCTGTTCTAATCCTCCCATCCCTGGAGTTTCTGCTTTGTGACACAAGTGCCACGAGGCAAAGTGAGCCCACATTTCAGCTCTCTCAAGTTCACTTTAGGACAGTGCCTTTGCTGGGTGCCAGGCTGAGGGCGAGGCAGGTTTCCCACTCTGCTCCAAGGATGGTTTATCCCAGCAGAGTTGTGGGGCAGGCAGGGATGAGGGGGACATGTCTGTGAGCTGCCTGATGAAGCTGCATCTGAAAATGAGATGCTGGGTCCAAGGGCACTTTTCAAACTTGTGTTCTTCACTCACTGAGACCTCAAGCTCCCCCCCAAACTTCCCTCTGCCCCCAGAGTGTAGAGCAGGTGAGAAATGCTGACAAGGGGACAAGGCAGGGAGGCAGGAGGGAGTCACACAAGGAGTGCTTCAGGTGAGGGAGAGTAAAGCTCCAAAGCATTTTTTTTTCCTTGTCATATCTGTGCTTTTTCAAGCTCCTGAATGCTCTGTTGCTACATCTGGCCCCGGTGTGTTTATCTGTGTTGATTAGGAGTGATAGGAGCCGAGTCTCACCCTGAGCAAGCCCTGGTGCTGCCTGTTCTTCCTTGAGGAGATGGGATTGAGAGCGGGTGAGGATTCCTGTCCAGGCAGGACCCAACAGCCCATCGCCGAGTCGGCAGCAGCGAAACCTGAGTCACGGCGACTGCTCTGCTCGGAGACAGCGGCGGCACTGGAGGGGAGGAGGGAGGGAGGGAGGGAGGAAAGGAGGGAGGAAGGGCTGCGTGAGAAACGCTAAAGACAACGAAACTCCCCAACCACCCGCTGAGGTTTCATGGTGCTGGTGCATCATCCCGGCGTGAGGGAGAAGAGGAGCAAACTCAGCATCCCCGTTATCCTGCTGGGCGAGGGGAGCAGGTGGAAGAGCTGCTCCCTGGACCAGCCTGAGCTCAACCACGTGAGCACAGAAACCAGCGGGATTTGGGTGCCTCGGGCCACCAGCAGAGCTGTTTCCAGCTTCTCTCCCGTGCAGCTCAGGTGTGGAGGGAAGAGCAACTTATTCCTTAATACAAGGTGCCAAGGAGAGCAGAGGCAGCCCTTGATGGCCCCATCCCTGCTGCTCAGCCAAGGAGAGCTCAGGAGCATCGCCAAAGCTATCCCTGTGTGGTTTATAAGTGTACTCCCTGCTGGAGACGTGGCAGTGGGAGAGACTGGGGGGTGTGCAGGAGTGAAGCCAGGCTGCCAGGGAGGATGGACCAGCATCCTTCACCCCATCCAAGGTCCACCTCCGTGCCCTTCCAAGGTTCCATCCCAGGAGCATCTGCTGAGCCCTCAGCTTTGCCCCTGCCAGCGTGGGCAGATCCCACAATGCAGGCTGGCACTACCTGTCAGGGTTTCCAGTCATGGAGAGTTTCAGAGGTGCCAGGTTCCTTTCAAGAGGAATTATTGTTCTCCCAATGATTCACTTAAAAGTCTAGACCAGGACTTATTATAAACACAAGGAGAGTAACTTAATGAAAACAACATATTCCTTATAAAAATGCCATTAAAATGCAGCATTCACTGCCTTAATTCCTGTAGATTTTCTTCACCTTCCCATAAAATACATCAGCAACTGATGTCATGATTTAACCCCAGCTGGCTCTTGGCGACTTTGGAGATTTAAAGAAATCTTCTTATGAATTTTTTTAAACCTCTTCTGCTAAAAAAACCCTGTCTGACCCTGCTGAGCATTTTCACTTGGAGGAAGAAGTAATTTTTGTCCACGGACTTGTTATTTTATGCTGAATAGTGTGAGCTGTGGTGGTGACACCATGTACACGTGGCTGAAGGGTGTGACAGGAGCACAGCCACTGGCTCATCCTCTGTGGTTTGGTGGTTATTCAGTCAAAGGTTGGACTCCATGATCTTGGAGGTCTTTTCCAACCTTAATGATCCTGTGACTCCATGATTCTGCCCTTGGAGCAGGGGGAGCCTCCAGCACGGAGCACCCAGGGAATGCACGGAGGTACTTCTGTGCTGGCTGCTGGTAGGGTTTGCTGGAGGAAAAGGAAAGATGACCAATGTTTGGGTAATTAAGTGTCTGACAGTTTACTAACATAAGATGGAGAGGCCTGGAGAAAGTGCCAGAAGAGAGGACAGGCAGGGCATTACTTTGGTGTGTTGCTTCCCAGCTCAGGTAGTCCCATGAGCCTCACCTCTGCCAGGAATTTTTTAGTGGAAGGGAGGGGGTTGTGATCTGCCTGTCTGCTTCCCTCTGAGTAAAATCACACACAAATGATGGAAAAAAATCCTTATTTAGATTAGGACTAAATTTAAAACCCGTGAACTGCAGCAAAGAGAATGGATGAGGTTTGGTTTCATCTGGGCAGGGCAGGTTCTCTGAACACGGAGTGACAGTGTCTGATTGTGGGTTGCACTGGCCTGTAGCTCCAAATTCAAGGAAAAATTGTGAGTTTCCTGATCTCTTTTTACTGACCAACACCCCCCTGTGATGTGAGTGGCTGGTGGTGTGTGCTGAGGACGGAGCAGGTGCAGACAATGCCGTGGTTCTGCATCCGTGGGGCAGGAGGAGGGAGCAGAGGCACAGCTGCCCCTGCATGGCCTCATTTTGGACACAGTTACAGGCAGGAGAGTTGGTATTCCCAAAGACTCTGGGAGTTAAGGACCAGGAAAGCATCCTTCCTCTGTTCCAGAGCACCTTTGGGAAGCCCTTTGTGTGTCCAGCTGGGTGACAGGGAAATGGCCCTGTGGAAAATTCTCATCCTTCACTCCTGGTTTCCTCTGTGTGGCTCAGTTTTAGGTCTGTGCGCCTGATGAAGAATGACACCATGAACTTCCAGAAATTCCCCTACACCAACGAAGATGAAGCCTGGAAAACCTACCTGGAGAACCCCTTGACTGCAGCCACCAAGGCCATGATGAGGGTGAACGGGGACGACGACAGCGTGGCCGCCCTGAGCCTCCTCTATGACTACTACATGGTACATCCCCCTGGGAATGGGGCTGGGGGGGCTTTGGTCCCAGAGGAGAAGTGTGAAGGGAAAACATGTGTAAAATATGTGTAAAATAAATATGTAGCACCTCAGGAGGGGACCCATCTCCTGAGCTCCCCCGGTGCCACAATTACCCCAGGGCACACAGGGGGTAAACTGAGGCACAAACCACCATTTTGAGGGAATCCAGAACATGTTGAAAAACTGAACCCAGGTGTCTTGAGTCTCGAGCTGGTGGGTTTTTCACCCCACAGCTTTTGAGAGACACGGGGCTGGAATAGCTGTCACAGACCCCAGCAGCTTTATTTTTCCAGTGCTGCTGTAGGATGGAGCTTCAAGAAATGTGGATATGATTTATTCCTAATTGAAACCAATAGGACTGATGTTCCCACTCACTTGGGTGCTTTTGAAGGTCCTTCCCAGAACAAGATGATGTGGCTTGCCTAAGGTTACTTGGGAATCCATGGCAGCAGCCCAGCAGGAGAGCCCAGCTCTGCTGTGTTTGTTATTCACACAGTGTTTTATCTCTGAGACTTCACTTGCTCACAGACAAGGCTAATTTTTGCCTCTGTTTTCCATTAATAAAATCTAACAATAAACAAACCCTTTGTTCTGCCTCGCTCCAGGTCCCAAAGGAGAAGAGGATTCTTCCAGCTGGAATGATGGGACGCAACGAACTAGGAAAGAGGTTGGCTGCAGTTTGTGCTCTCTGTAGCTGTCTCCTTCTCCTGCAGCTGCTGGCAGGATGGGGCTCTTAGCTTGCATAAAATAGACATCAAAGCACAGTGTTATTACCAACAACAGTGCAGGTTATTAACCCTGAGACATACATTAAAATTCTTTAGGCCAGATCCCAAGCGGGTATAAATGGAGCTACACCCATTTACACACCTGAGGATCTGTCTGGCTGTGCTCAGAGGGGTTGTGCTGATTTGCAGCAGCTGAAGAATTTGTCTTTATTTCCTGCTTTGTGACAGCTGGAAAGGGCAAAAGGATTAAGCACTGGCAGCAAGAAGGGAATGGCCAAGTCCTCTCCCATTCCCTGGGCTGATAAGGGTTTCTGTTTCACTTCCTTACAGTCTCCCAGGGTTCTCTTCCAGTGACTCCATTTGTCCTTTGAGGTTTTCAGATAATTAACTATTAAATTAATGGCTCATTTGCCACTGTGAGTTCAGCTCCCCTGAACGTTGTGTACTTTGGCAACCTTTTCTGGTCGTCAGTTTTTAACTACTTGACAGAATAAGCCTCTCGAGTGATACTTCATTCCTTCTTCATAAGTAAACTGAATTGAGCTGATTTCTCCTCTCTGAAAGGCCTCTGCATTCTGGGCAGTGCTACAATTTTTATTAAGTGTGGATATTTCAGCAAATACCTGAAGGTGAAGCTCAAAGTGGATGGGAGCTCCTGGCTCACCCTTGGGGTGGCTCCTGCTGCCAAGGGGTTGCTAATGTGGGGGTTGGTGTGTTTTCTGAGCCTGGTAACAGGGGCAGAAAATCCCCTTTTCCCAGCTCAGCCAGAGCTGCAGAGTCAGCAGGTCATGGAGTCACTGCTGCAGGAGGGACCAGTTTGGGATGCTGCACAAAGGGATGGTTTCCCTGTGCAAGGAGGGTGGTTTTGTAGGTTTTTATCACTTGGTAGCTCCTGCACTTCAAGTATTTTCTGCTCTGAAGAGGCCACTTCCAACACTGCAGCCTTGTTAGATTTTCACGGATCTTGTTCTCTGGGAATTTTGCTTCCTAAGCTCCTGGAGTTTGTGAATTTGTACGAGAATTGTTTTTCCTTTAAAAAAACAGAAACAAAAAACCAGAATATAATAAAAAAATCAACTTTAAGCATCAATGAGCCCTAAAAAGACTGAGATGCAAAGACTACATAGCAGTTATCTTTCTTACTGTCCCTGCTGCTCTGAGCATTTAATAGCCTAAATAAAGGAATAATGGATGTAGGCCCTGGATGTGCAGCCTCAAACCACGTCTAAATCATATTCTCTGATCCCATGTGATCATCCCTTATCTGCTGAGCACCTCTGGCTCTTGCTGATTGCACTGGGAGGTGTGGGTGGAGATCACCCAGGGGCCTGTCAGGTCTCCCATGCCAAGCAGGAGCTGACTCAAGGTCACCTGTGCAGTTTGCTCCCCAGCAGCACATCAAGGCACTTGGTTCCTGCTGTGACAGCTCGCTGGGGTTGCCCACGCTCTGCCCCAGGTTGAGACAGGCCCCTTTCTCCACCAGGCACTGCCACGGGATGGACTACGACCCGGAGATCGCCTCCTTCGACGGCTCAGCCCATCTCATGAAGCTCCTGTCTGAGAACGTTTCCATGACCCAGGAGTACTGTGAGCCACAGAAGAAGAACGGCTTGAGTCTCGAAGGCGTCCCTCCTCCTCCTCCCCCTCACAAGCCAGCCCTGCTCCCTCCAGGCACCAGCAAGCTGGAGGCCACCCCAGACAACTACCTGGTCCCTGCTGGGGACGTGTACGACAACAGCTCGTTGAACTCCCTCTTCGAGAGCCTCCCCATGGCCCCGGCGCAGCAGCGGTGGCAGCCAGACAGCACCTTCAAAGAGGACCCCCAGGAGGTCAGAGCCCTTTCACTGCAGGAGTTTGGGGGTCTACTTTGGGCTCTGCTCATGCTGGAGTCAGAGGGAGCTTTGCTTTTGCCTTAGGATGCTGCTCCCATGGGATCGTTGGGTTTGGAAATGGGATAAGGCTTCGAAATGGGGGTCTGTGTTTTATCTGTGGCCTCTGTTGGGGCGTCTGGGAGAAGGTGGATGGAAAAAGCACTGGAAGGTTCTGCTTCTGACTGTTTTGTTTGCACCTGTCTGCAGTCGCTGCTCTTCAGTGACATCCTCAAGCCGCAGCCGGAGCCGCCCTGCCCCGAGAGTTACGGCACGGACGGTGTGAAGAGGTAACTGCCAGTCCCTGGGCTCGGGCTTTCCAGTGAACACTGGGCTCTGTGTCCCTTCCCTGGGGAATGACTTCATCCCTTCCCTCTCCCCGCTCCAGTCTGGGCAATGACCAGTGCAAATTATAGGGCTCGTGCTTTTCCAGGGACAATTTGTGTCTCCCCGGTGCCTTTGGAGCAAGTTGCTGTCCCATGAGCTTTTAGACCCAAAGCAGTTCATGTTCTCTGTGCAAACTGGTGTAAATTTGGTCACACCTCATGAGCACCTTGGCCCTGAGGTGTCCATGGGAGGGTTTTTTGTGTTCCAGCCCCTTCCCAGGGAGCACTGCTTGGCTCCTGTGGTACAGACAGATCCAGGTGGCTGCACCATCTTCCCACAGGCTACTTGGAATGGGGCAAATGACAGAGAAAACAAGGATTGCAGTTGATGAGGGTGATAATTACCCTCCTCCTAATCTAAGGTTTAGGTTCTCACTTAGCACTGTTAGTCAACCTTGATTTTAGAGGGTGCCAGTGCCTCTCATTCCTAAAACATGAGAGGGATGTCTTCCTCCTTTCCACCCCTCTCTCAGGCAGAGCCTCACTGCTCTAGATACTGCATCAAACCTCCCAGCAGGTAACATTATTTCACCTCCCACTTTTTATTTGCCTCCTGAGTCAGCTGACTGGGTGACTCAGCTGTCAGACGTGGGGATGTTCACACAGACACCAGCTCGTCTCTGTTCCCTATTTGTGCACTGGAGTTCTCTGGCTCTCCTGGCTCTAGATTAGAGGAGCTGCCAAGCCAATCTTCAGAGGTGGAGCAGGAAAAAGATGGGTTGGTGACTGAACAGGGCACTTGGAGGGTCTGTGTGAAGACTCCTGCTCAGATTCCTCACAGCAGAAAGCAGCTTGAGCTGTGGCCTCCTGGTTTGAATGCTCAGAGGTGCTGGTGGATGCCCAAGAGCTTTTGAAAATCAGGATCTTCTCTCAGATTTCCTTGTCCACAGTGACACCTTTCTCTGTGTGACACAAATCTTTTCTAGCTTAAGACTAAAGTTGCTGCCCACCAGGCTGAGGGTTCCACAAGCTGGGCTTCTTAGTCCAGCTCTACCTGGATAATCAAGCAATGTCCTGCAGGTCCTCCTGCTTCGACAGGACCATCAAGGGACAGTATTCCTGGCTCAGCCATTTATGGGTGTGAATTTGGAGACAGGAATCTGAGTTTAGCACGTTGTAAAAGTCTCGTGGGTACCTGGTGCTCTGGTTTATGGTGTTTGGTTGAGCAATGGTTCTGTTGCCATCCACAGGAAAATATTGGTTACAATCATGTCCAGGGATTTTTAAGCCAAAACCAAAGGGTAAAATGAGCCTCTTGGAGAACTGCTGCTCCCTGGGGTGTTGGGGAGGATCAGAATGTGCTGTGCTGGGAGGTGCTCGGTGCTGTCGGGGTGTGTGAGATGGGGAGCAGAGCAGAAACTCCTGTGTGTGCAGTGCCTGCAACCTGTAACCTGCAGGGGTGGAGGCTTCCACGGCTCTTGTTTTGCTTTTTGGAGTGAAACAGCAACGTGTGCTTATTCATCATTCTCTCTTTGTTCCGTACAAGTGACTTTGAATACACGCTGGGGTCACCCAAAGCCATTCACATCAAGTCTGGGGACTCTCCCATGGCCTACCTCAACAAAGGACAGTTCTACCCCATCACTCTGCGGACAGCAGGAGACAGCAAATGTTTACACTTGTCCTCAAATAAAGTGAAGGTAAGAGCCAAGCTGACAATTCTGCTGACACGCGGAGTCAGACATGCAGCAATTCCCTGGGCCTGGGAACAGAGCTGAGCGTGAGGAGTGATGGCTTTGTGGCTCGTGTTGGCTTGGAGGGATGAATGGCTTGGATTCACTCACAGCAAGGGAATCCTCTGATGCACAGGCCGTGTCCCTGGGCAGCTGGAACCTCTCACAGTGAGACCAGGGGTGCACAGAGGGCTGGCTGGGGGCCCTGCTGGGGAGATTGAGCTAGGGAGAGGTTCCCAGTCTTGTTCCTGGGATGTGTGGCCAGGCCTCAGAGCCACCCCTGGGACTGTGCTCCAATCCCTTCCCTTGCCTGCCTCAGTTTCCCCAGGTATAAAACCTGTTTTCTGTGACACTGTGACACTTGGCCAGGGCACGGATGGAAAGGGCAATGCAGGCACCAAGCCCCAGCCTGCTGTGTGTGCTGACTGGGCTGTCCTGGCTGTGTTACAGAGCGTGGTGATGATCGTTTTTGACAACGAGAAGATCCCCACGGAGCAGCTCAAGTTCTGGAAGCACTGGCACTCCCGCCAGCCCACGGCCAAGCAGAGGGTCATCGACGTGGGTACGAGCTGGGTGGGCTTGGGGACTCCTGGCACTGCTTTATTAAATCACAAGGCTTCTTTTGGCCTTGGAGGGGCAGGATTTTGGGGAGCTGGGGAGCCTGGGGGATGTCTTGCAGCCTGAGTATAAACTGCCTCTCCACTGCCTTCCAGCTGACTGCAAGGAGAACTTCAACACGGTGCAGAACATCGAGGAGTTGGCCTACAACGCCCTGTCCTTCGTGTGGAACATCCACGAGGAGGCAAAGGTACCAACTGTGCGTGGGAGAGGGATGTGGGAAGCCTTGGTCTGCAGCAGCAGCTCCTCCCTGACGGCCCAGAGGCTCCCCCCCACTCCTCAGCTGAAAGACAGGGAGAGTTCCAAACCCAAACAGTGCCATTCCAGCGGCCCCAGGGACTGTTTGCCCGCCAGGACAGCGGGGAGGACACGGGGCTTCTCTGTGTGTTTAAGCATTGCCATTAGCTAATAAACACACTGGGTACACCCCAGACAGGCTCAGAGATGTTTTCTTAGTGCTGATGGATAACTGAAGAAAAGGCTTTTGCAGCAGCTCAGGGCTCTGCTCACATGTACCTGAAGCCTGTTTAAATAACCCCCAGCTCAGGGAACAAAGACCCTCCTTTCAAGGCAGCAGTTGGTTGCAGACATGACTGACCACCCTCCCGTGCCTTGTGTGATGTGGAAAGGAGCCAGGCGGGTCACAAGATCCCTTTTCACCTTAGAATCTCTATAAAGCTTAGAGCAACAACTTTCCAGCTCTGCTGTCTCCTCAGCACTTTGTGTCGGGTGTGGATTGAGAGGAGCATGTAAAAACAGATGAAGGAAAGAAAAAAAGGAAAGCATAAATACCCCATGTCTCTGAAGCTTGGGAAAACTCTGCTTTGGGATCTCAATAAGCCCTTCTTTAGCCCAAAGGCAACGTGGGTCTTTTACAACCCAAGAGGTTAACAAATGTCTTCAAGGCAAAGTTGTCAGAAATGGAAATATGTCAGGTATGTGGCAAGCCCTGGGGGCACCTCAGCAAAACTGGGTTTAACTCTTAGCAGAAACTCTGTCCCTGCACTGGCCTGGGGCAGGTAAAGGTGAGACTTCAGAGAGCTGGGAGGGCTGGGAGTGAGACAGGAGGGGTCAGGAATTTGGGTCGTCTGTGGCACCTGTTACTTCTCTCATTCCAACTAAACTTCACACCACAGTTGAGTGGTTTTCTTTCTCATACTCAGGTACTGACTAGAGCTGACACTGGGTTTCAGGGCTGTAATCCTCAGCTGGAGTCTTGCTGAGGGAGCTGTGGGAGCTTCTCCAGCTGCAAATCTGTCCCCAGAGTCCAGAGGAATTTCAAGATCATACCAATGAGTTGGCAATTTGGAGATAAAATGTGGATTATAGCTGTGCTCAGCTTTTCTTCAAAAGCTTCCACTGGAGCTGACTCCATCCTCCTGATAAAAGAGACCAGTGTGTGATGAATATTCATTTAAGCAGCAGCACTGCTGTGCAATTCCCGAGGCTGCAGCTTATCCCTCCTCCCTTCCTCGGGGGCTCTGCTCTCTGGGGGTCCCTGGTTCAAATGAAAGCTCAGAAATATCAGCAAGAACATCCCCAGGCAGAATTTTGGGAGTGCTGAAGAGCTGGAATAGGTGTAGGGGAACAAGACTGTGCTCAGGGTGGGAAACCAACAGCTCAGGTGCTGGGCTGGCACCGGGAGGGCTGGGAGGAGGCTCAGCAGCTGCTTTGGTCCCGTCCTGTCCTCCCTTTGCTGGGTGAGAACGTTGGTGCTGAAAACATCATCCTCTGTCCCTGCTTGCAGGTGTTTATTGGGGTGAACTGCCTGAGCACAGACTTCTCCTCCCAGAAGGGGGTGAAGGGTGTCCCCCTGAACCTGCAGATCGACACGTACGACTGCGGCGGCGGCGGCAGCCAGCTCGTGCACCGCGCCGTCTGCCAGATCAAGATCTTCTGTGACAAGGTACAGCTCCAGCTGCTGCTCCAAGGGGGGTTCAGCCTGGTGGCCAGAGGCTCCAGGAGTAAAGGTAGAAAGGTTGTGAGAGCCCAGAACAGCCCAGAGGTCAGGGCTGAGGACCCCTCACCTGAGCGGGACAGGACGGCGGGGTTGGGTCTGCACTGAGGCCTTTGCAGAACAATCACTGATGAGTTCTCCCCAAATCAGACCTACCTGGGGTTGTGCCTCGCAATAAACTGTATTTTTCCGAAGTTTTTAAATATCAGAAGAGGTGAGAATTTCCTTCGAGGTTCTTCCCCCATCTCAGATATTTTTTCCCCGTGGAAAAATTTCTCACTGCTGTTTTCGTCCACATTTTCTTCATTTTTAAAAGCAAATTCTATTTTTGTTTTGTTTTGTTTTTTTTTTTCTAATTGATAAGTTATCAGTCTTGGATGGCCTGTAGAGCCTCTGAGGTGATCATTTTTGAATAAAGGCTGCCTTTACCTTAGTGTGCTCCCCATCCAAGAGGCAGCCAGTGAACCCTCTCTTGGAATTCCCAATGTCCTGATTTTTGCCTGATCTTGCCCACAGGGAGCAGAGAGGAAAATGCGGGATGATGAAAGGAAACAGTTCAGAAGGAAAGGAAAATGCTTGGACTCCAACAACAATGGTCAGTGCCTGTGTTTGTTACCTGATCCCAAGTATGTTGAAATCCATGTCCGTTAACTCCTACGGGATCTGGCCCCGGGTATCCCAAGCCTGATGCAATCAGCACCACTCGGAAGCAGCCTGTCAGTCAGGTCCTTGCTGGGCTCCTACCGAGTCTCCCAAAGCCTTTTATTGACACCAACCAATCCTTCTGAATCCCTCTGGACTCATGGCAGGACCTTCCCCAGGGCAGCCAGCACTGGGCAGCCCTGGAGACCCAGTTCCACAGAGCCCTGTCTTCATTCCAATATTTCTGTTGGGACACCGTGGGAAGGCGCCTTCCCCTCTCTCACAGCTGCCTCTCACGGGGCCATCTGAACTGAGATGAACTGGACTTTCCATCTGTAGGTCTGAAAGGCTGTTTGCTCTCTGGCTTCAGAGGGAACGAGATCACGTTCCTGCGGCCGGAGACCGACCTGGAAACGCAGCCGGTCCTGTTCATCCCCAACGTCCACTTCTCCAGCCTGCAGAGGTGTGGCACGGTGAGTCCCCGCAGAAAACAACCAACCTGTCGCCCTCACCTCTCACCCCCATCATTTCCAGGCTGATCAGTCTCCCACACATGACTTGTGTCATGCAAAAATCCCCAAACCAAGCCGCAATTCCTTGTGGGAATGTGGTGAACTCAAAGACGTGGCTGTCAGGAGTGGCCCAGTCATGCAACAGTGATGGGCAAGATAACCTTGCCAGGTTCCTTCCAGCCAGATATTCCTGTGGTTTCCAGGTATCACCTGCAGCTTCCACAGAGGACTGGAGTGGTAGCAAAAATATCAGCAGAAAGGAAACTGTAGAAAAATATGATTATCAGTCCCTGCATGTGTGGGACATCTCTGCCCTTCTCTACCCCCTTGAGCCGAAGGAAACCTAAACCCAGTGTCCTTCAGAGCTCATCAGCATTCCTTGCCTCAGAAACAACTGCCCAGTTTGCCAAAAAGAAGGAATCTAGAGCAGTTCTTTACATCAGATTTCGTTTGATCTAAGAAACACAAACAGGTGTTTGGGTTTAATTGCATAGGAAAACTGATGGGCTGGGAGGAGGGAACTCACGTTTAAACTGTGCCCGTGTTGCCCCAGCCCAGCTTGTCTGGCTCACAGTGATGCTGTGCAAACTCACAGATCCACGTTCCCCTTCCATTTCAGGTGCTCCCTCCTGCTGCTCCCAACGCTGCAAACAGGTAAGGACTGTGTGCATTTCCCACCCATCAGCTGCTCTCTGCCTTTGGGAATGTCCTGGCTGGCTGATATCCATAGGCAGTGTATCCACGGGTGCAAAATAACACAGCACAGTGTCTCCCTGATGCCCTTGAGAGTCAGAATGTGTTAAACTTGGGCCCAGAATGGACTCAAGGGCTGCAGAAACATGGATCCATTTCTGTCCCTGTCACTGAGCCCCTCCAGTGTGAGCTGGTCCCTGACTGTCCTGCTGTTCTCATTGAGACAATGTTAGAAAGGGAAGATAAAAGATCACAACCATCACTGGAGGGTTCAAGCAACCGGAGGCTGTAAAATAACCTGGAATGAAGTAGAAATCACACTTGTGCTGTGTCTGAAGTGGGGGGAACCAGCATCTCCCCCATGATCCACCGTCTGGTGATATCAATAGAGAGACAATGGCACAAGGGTGCAAAAGACTTTTGTTTTTGGTGTGACACCAAACCCTCTGCGGGTCCTCCCTGAGCTCCCCTTAGGCAGGAAGTCACAGCTCTGGTGGACACTTGCTGCTGCAATTACAGACCCATATTTAATTGCTGGTTGGTTGCTGGGGTAATTGGTTGTTCAATCAGAAGTTCAGTTGCTGGAGTTATTTTGCTGGCTGTTGTTTCTGTGCTCCTGAGAGAGTTGTTTCCTTTGTCTCAGGCTGCCCCTAAAGCGGAGCGGCGCCTCCTTCACGGACGAGTTCGACCCGATTCCTCTGAAGCAAACCAAGGAAGAGGATCCCCAGAGAGGTAATCCCTGGGAGGGGAACCCATTCCATTCAGGCAAACCTTGGGTCTTGAATTCCACGAGGCCACGTGGCTGTGGGACCCTGCTGGGGGGACCCCTGAGTCAGTGCTGCCCCTTCTCTCTTCCAGTCCTGCTGTACGTGCGCAGGGAGTCGGAGGAAGTGTTTGATGCTCTCATGCTGAAGACACCGGATCTCCAGGGCCTCAGGACAGCTGTAAGTGCTCTCAAAACCCCCCTTGGGGAATGAGCAAACTGCAGAGGAAAGGGCATGGTGCTGGGGTACAGCGGGGTGGAGGTAAGGCTGCTCCCATCTCCTGTCTGCTCTCCCTTGGGAATGGAAACGGAAAGTGTGAGCAGCAGGTGAGTTCTACCAACAGCTCCTGGCACGGGCTGTGTTGGAACACACCTCATGGCAAGATGTTCTGCTCAGAGCACGACAGAACCTCCTCCTGTGGCAGCACATTCATATTTTCCACCGTAAAACACCTTTTCCGTTCTCAAGGCTGGAGATGTGCGAGCTGGAGTCAGCTCTGGCCTCCTGCTGGAATTCCCTGGCTGTGTTTGAGGAGCACAGACATATTTCTGTGACGATTATCAGCAGCATCTCTGATAACCCAGCTCTCTTTGGAGACTGCTGGGAAGGAAGCAAACAATAAACCTCCCAGATTTGGGGTGGCTTTATGGCTGCACTTTAAGCTCTGTTGGTTTTACGGATTTTTAAAAATAGAGAGTTTGAAAAATGTCAGCACAGAGGATCCTTTGCCATCTTGTCCCTCGCCATCCCTCACCACAAAGAGGAAAAAAACTCTGTGGAAAATGCTTGGGAAAAACCTACAAGCCTCCTATCATCCTAAGACCAAAACTGAACTTCCCCAGGAGAAAGTTCAGATCGTGGCTTTGGCCCCTTTTTTCTCGAGTAAGAGGGAGGGGGATCTTTTGCTGCTGAACACCCCTGGCTTGGTGTTATCTTTGATTTTTATCATGGGAATTTCATTTTACAAGTACAAAGATTTGCCATGTTTTCTCTCACAGATTTCAGAAAAATATGGGCTTCCTGAAGAAAGCATTTATAAAGTCTACAAAAAATGCAAAAGAGGGTAAGCTAATCTCTCATCTGCTTTCATGCTGTGCCTCCAAACCCCCCATCCTCTCTGGGACACTGCCATAGGCTCAAACAGCATTTTAACAAGATAATAAAAGGCAAAGCCATGTCAGGCTGTGCCATTTGGAGCATATAAAACTCAGATCTCTCTGGGCTTTAAAGATTTCGGATAATACCTGTTTGTATTATATTTGTTTGGAGGGTGAAGTCTCCCAAGGAAAGGAAGTTGGGTGAAGGAGGAATTATTTGGGTAGTTTAATGGGTGATCCTTTGTGTCTCAGTCTAAAAGCCTGAGGTTATGGAGAACTTATCAAAGAGGGATCAATGTTTGCTTCTCCAAACCAACTCTGAAATGTCCCTGGCTCAGGGGGAGACTGTGCTGGCTCAGGTGATGCTTTCAGGGGGTGACAGGTGAGGTTTGTGGTAAATGTGAAATGGCTTCTCAACTTATTCTGACGTGGTGCTTGTTAGGGACGGATCCCTGCGGATCTGCCCCATCCAGGCAGGGAATGGCGTGGGTTGGCAGGAGCTGAGGAGCTGCTGAGTGTTCCCCGGAGGGCAGAGCTCTCCATGAGGAGCCAGGTGCTACTTTCAGGGATGCTTTCTGGACTGAGAACCCCCCCTGTGCCGTCCCCAGTTCTCCCTTCAGCTGATGGAGTGGGAACAACTCATAAAGTGCCAGGCTTCTTTTCACAGAGCCCAGCTTAGAGCCCCTCCTGCAGAGTGAGTGAGATACCATCAGGCTTGGGCAGCAGCAGCAGCGACTGCCTGGGAGATGAACTCATTGTTGTTGCTGGCCCTGGCCCAGCTCTGAGCACGGGGAGAGGCAGAGACACGGGGCTGACGACAGGTCCTGTGTTGGGCAGCTCTGCTGCTCCCACCAGCACGGCCCAGAGAGGTTCTCTGTGTGACAGCAGGGCCCTTGGGATCTTGAACTTAGCCCAAAGCCCTGCTTCTGCATCTCCTTCCTGGTGGCAGTGGTGTGAGAAAGTCCTAAAGCTCCTGGGTGGGATCTTCCACCTCGTTTGGTGTCACCATAACTCAATCCCAGGGGACTGGGCTGGTTTGCTTTGTGGGGGCAGAGCTGAAGGGAGGCCTGGAGGCAGCTGCAAGGTGGGAGGGGAGAGGCAGTGCTTGCTCCTCCACACTGGGATGTGTCACTGAACTGGGAAGCTGAACCACCTCAGCTCCAAATCCAGAACCGAGCAACCTTTCCCTTTTAAAAACAGTTTTTCAATATGGCCCTAATTTTAGGATGAGGGATGGGCCATAGTGAGGTATCCAACTTTGTCAGGATGTTCTTCCACCTGTTCCTGAGCTCAGGGCCCTCAGCTCTGTCAGATGCTGCTCATCCATTAGCCCCAGAAACTGGAATTTTCTCCCCAGAGAAGAAGAGCAGCACTGGTGGAGGAGGGGGCTGTCCCTGCTCCTGCAGCCAGAGAGGGCCTCGAGTCTGACCTGGGAGAAGAACAACTGTGAGGGACAGGGGAGGTCAGTTTATTGTTCCAGCTCCAGGGCTGAGCCCAACCCCGGGCGTGTCAGCGGTGCTGGTGGCTCGTGATGTGGCCACCACGGGTCACCAGAGTGTCATCAGGCAGCAGCTCCTCTGAGGTGACTCCAGCTTGGGCTGGAGTGTCCTGGCCCAGCTGAGTGTCAGCATGTGCAGGGCAGGAGAGGTCCCAGCCCTGGTGAGCTTGCAGGTGGACCAGGAAACAGCAGTGTTTCAGGGGAGAGGTCTCCTCAACTCTGTTTGGCTTTGATTCTGTTCATTACTTGGTCTGATACTTAGTGAATGTTGTTTAATAATGACTAGGAGGGAAAACAGGCAGGTGTCCTTCCAGCTCTTCCCCAGGATGGAGGAGCAAAGGGGTGTCTGATGAAGAGAAAAGGCCACGCCTGGAAATTAGTTCAAATAAATAATCTTGACACCTGGTTTGATGAAAGCTGGACGTGACCAGTGCCAGAAGTTACTGCTGAAGCGTGAGGGAGATAAAAGACACCTCCAGTGTGGTACAATGGCAGGGTCAGGCCCTGTTCCTGCTCCCCCAGATTTAATTTTCAGTAATTTCATCCTATTGCTCCACCCTAAACAATCGTCTCTCGGTAATTACAGCTTGGGGGGCAGATCTTCATCTGGTGGAAAGTAGTGAAGCTCAGTGGTCCTGCCTGGCCTGATGGCAGGCGAGGTCCTACCCCAGCCACGGGCCTGCCCAGGGCCATGAGCTCACACAGATGAACCCGGGCCCAGGGTGACTCAGGAGCAATAATAAGCAATTCCGTATCTTGGTGAGGTTTGGTCTAGAAAAACAATACAGGGCTCTCAGATTCCTAATCAACACTGCCTGGAATCGTTTGTGGTTGGGAAATCAGATGGAAGCACGGGAGCAGCAGGCACAGGTGACTCCTCTGGCTTCCTGCACTGAGATAGGCAGAGATAAAGGGAGCAGCTCTGCTGCTGCAAAGCTTTTTGTGACATCCCACCCTTGGGAACCCTCAGAAACTCTCTGGGGCACCTGTGGGAGGCCAGACCTGGGATCCAGGGCTTGGGGACCTGCCCCTGGGTGCTGGGGCTGGGATACAGCCACGGAGGTTGTGATTCCCCAGGGACACCCTGGATGGATCAGCCCCCGTGTCCCAGCCTTCCCCTGTGCTGGGTGGGCTGTGCCCCCCAACTGTGCCCTGACAGAACTCCCAGCCCTGGGAAATGTTCTGGGCACCCCTGAAAGGCAGCACTGAGCCCTGGGCACGGCTCAGAGCAGAGCAGCCCAGACACGAGGGCAGAGCTGCCACTCCAGGGCTGCAGGGTGGGCTGTGAGGAGCCTGCCCTGCCCCAGAGGGGTTCCCTGGGGGGCACCAGGGCCCCCTGTCTGTGCTTGTTGAACTGCTGGATCTGTCAGAGGCTCAGCCTTCCTCCTTTTCAGTCTTGGCTTGAGGAGCGTTGCACAATTAACGCTCTTGCCCCATTAATGACCCCAGTGGGAACCTGGAGGGGTTGTTGCTTCCTGCAAAGAAAGAACATTTGTTCTTTGTTTCCTCCAAATTTCACACTGGTTTATGGGAACACTGTGGGGTGATGCCAGGCTGCCCCTTCCCGTCACAGGACAAGGGGCTCTTGCCTGGCACAGAACCACAGCCTGGGGTTTAAATCTGCCCTGGAAATGTTCCCTTTTCCTCGTGTCTCCATGGAATTGATTCCTGCTCAGGGAAGCTGAGACATCTGCAGCGGGGCTGGGATCCCTGGAGCACAGGGAGGGATTTGCCATGGGCTGGGGGAGTTCCTGCAGAAGGGGGTCCCAGGCAGAACTCGAAGGCAGTTCTGGAAAGGAGAAAGGCCTGTCCCAAACCACTTCCATGTGCTCCCAAAGCAGCCTCAGCTCCTTCAGAACAGCCCTGGAAGCACCTGGGTGGGAAGGGAGGAGTGAGCAGTTCTGCTCTGAATTCACACCCTGATAATCCAGGGGGATTTACCTGTGGAGCCAACGCTGGGCCAAGGCATGTCTGGGAGAATTGTGAAAAGCTCAGCAGGACCTTCCCTTGTGTCGTGCTGTGGCTTTAATCCATCAGTTAATTAATTGATTAACGGTGGCCAAGCCCCTCGGGCTGGGCAAAGTGGACCTGCTTTCAACGTGCTGACCCAGCCCCTCTCCCTCTCCCGTAGGATCCTGGTGAACATGGACAACAACATCATCCAGCACTACAGCAACCACATGGCCTTTCTCCTGGACGTGGTGGAAACAGAGAACAAGTTCCAGGTCATCCTCAAGGAGCTCTAAAGAGCCTCAGGCAGCACTTAACTGGGACTTCTCTCCGAGCCCACGGAGCTCAGCCTCGTGCCCCTTCTTGTTGCCTTGACTTGAAGCCCCCGTGGCCGGGGCGGCCTCGGGGCCGGGCCACGGACCTGCCTCGAGATCACTGATGGATGTGAACGTGGAACTTCGCTCTGCTGGGCTTATTATTATTATTATTATTTTTTATTTTATTTTATTTTATTCTCTTCTGGCGCTGAGGGCCTGACCTGCTGTTTCAGAGCTGGGGACACCAAGTGACATTAACAGGCAGAGAGACCAGAGTTGGTGGCTTTGGCTGTGACTGATCCTACCCCAGGTCTTGGGTTTCTCCCAGGCCGCAGAACCTTCTGACTGTTTCCAGCTCTGAGCTTCTCTCTGTCACAGAGACTCTCACAGATGCATTTTCAGCTCCCTGTTGAACGGACACTGCCTGCTCCCACCCCCCACCCTGCCACATCTCTGACTGTAAATACCACCAAGGCCTCCACAGCCCTTGTTTATACATTTCTGATGTATTGTTCCTTTTGTATTTTATATATGTATAAATATGCATTGTTTTATATTGGACTCAGTACGGTGACACAGAGCATTTCAAACACAGGCTGCTTCACATTTCTCCGTGAACTCCTTTTGTAACTGTGTTGTTGGTTTTGTTGTTTTGGATATTCCGTAGCAATAAAGGTTCAAAGACGGAAAATGAGCTGTTTCACCCAGCTCTGGAGTCGGAGTTGGGCTGGGCTGGGCAGGAGCCAGGGCAGGGACGTGACCTCAGAGGCACCCAAAGGACTCGGGGATGGTTTTGCAGCAGCCGTGATCCTCCTCCCTGTCCTGCATGGACTGTTTGAACTCCTCACTCTGCCAGCTCTCAGTCCTTCCCCCCTGTGCTACAACTGTTTACAGCTGATTCCCATTCAGGTAATCCAATGCCAAGGGGAGCCCTGTATTTTCTAATTAATCCTCTGACCAATGGAAACTGGGGCCTTTCCTCCTTCCTCCTCTTCATCCTCTGCTTTTCCTCTCCACGTTTAAGATGCACCTGAGTCCCGTGACTGGGGAAGAGAGAACAGCTCTGCTTTCACTGGGAAAGAAATGCATCAGGTGGGTGAATTTTGTGTTACTTAAGTGTTGGTAGAGGCCTCTAAGATGAAGCTCAGATAAGTTAAAGGCTTATCAACCTTTGAGATCTCTCCAGCACTCTGCGCTCCCTCATTTCATATCACAAACTCCTTCTTCAGCAGGATTTCTCTGATTCACTGTTGGTTCTGTGAGGCTGCGCCTGCAGTCCTCCTGCAGAACTTCAGCTCCAGTTCAAACCAGTCACACCAGGAATCCCCCAACGCTCAGTGTTGCCCATCTGACCCCCTTCTCTCTGACTCCAGTGACTCGAGCAGCACCACTCCTAATTTACAACAGCAAAAACGTTGTAACCTCGGGTTCCCAGAAGAACAAAGCTGGATTTTGCTGGATTTCAAGGCGTTCCATCCCACGGGAAACCACCCTGAGCTCTGCAGGGCTCCCTGAGTCTGCACCTCCCAAACAACTCCCCGGCTTTCTGCCGGTGGGATGGGGGCAGAGAACCAGGGGCTTTTCCCGGGTGATCCTGGCTCTGGGAGGGTTTCGGTGCCGGTGCTCGCTGCGGGCAGGGAAGCGCCGGTTGATCCAGGGCAGCGCAGGAGCGGAGCCTCCGCCCGCTGCCACCCAGAGGTGGGTGTTTTGCTGACTGGCTCAGTATCGCTCATCCCTCCCAGCCAAGGGCGAGGAGTTGCCGCGGAGGTTGCGCAAAGCAGAGCTCCCAAATATGTGAGAGCATTCCTGGCTCCTCGCCCGGAGCCCACCAGTTCCTTTTGAAGATCAAGATACGAGAGAAGGACGGAGGCGATTCACACACACACACCCCCCCCAGCGAGCAGAGGTCGTGTGAAAGTGGGAGAAGTTGTGTTGTGCAAAGGGCTCCTGCTGACACAGGAGGGGCTGCCCCGGACAGCTGGGAGCTGGTTTGTGCTGACTCCAGTCAGGAACACAAACTGGTTTAGGAGATGGACACTGCAGCGGCTGGATGTGTGCTCTGCACAGCACAGTGTGCGACAGACCCCAGAGCCCATCCCTGAGCTCCAGGATCTGCCCCCCTGCCCTTCTCCCTTATTCCTGCCCTGCTCAGGATGGACCTCCCCTTCCAGGGTAGCATTCCCTATGGTCAGCCTGCAGCACTGGTGTTCTCAGCTGAAAACACAGAGGAGGTGTTTTTTTTTTTGGCATTAATTATTATTTTGTCTTAATTATTCAACATCTACAAAACTGGAAGCTTTCAAACCAGCTTTAGCTAATGACCATTCTCTAATTCACAGAGCCAAGTTCCACCAATGAGCTGCTGAGCTACCCGTGAGCCAGCCCTTTTAGGCTGAGAGCAGGACTGCTCACTGTGTGCTGTGCAGGGTTTGGGGGAAATCCTGGGGGAGGAATCCCACTCTGGCATCCCAGTCCTGCTGCTCACAGGCTGGGAGCCACTTCCCCCCCCTCCCCGCAGCTGTGGAGGAAGGAACACTTCCAAAGTGCTCCTGGTGAATGAGTGCCCACAAAGACAGGGGTGCATCCAAAAGAGAAGCAGCAGCAGCAGCATGTGAGCTGAGTTGTGCAAGAGCTCTGGTATCCCCGGCGCTGGGCGGAGGGCTCTGCTCTTCACTTCTGCAAACAACACCCAGTTTCTGTGTCTTTATTCGTGCTTATTCATTCCTTGCATCATCAGCCAGGCAGCCCAGGAGCTCGGTGTGTGGTGTGCTTCTGCAGTGCTATGAAGGGAAAAGCAGCATCCCGTGTTTTGTTGGGACACCCACACGCCGTGCTCGGAGGAGCCCTGGCACTGTGCTGGGTATCGGAGGAGAGGATTGAAGACAGGAAAATGAAGCCCTGTCTGCATCTGCTTTGCAGAGTGGAAACCTTCCATAAAGCTGCTGAGGGTTCCCCCAGCTCTGCTGTCTCACCTGTTTCCCCTTGGGTTTGGATAATTGAATTTCTGATGGGCCCAGTTGAAGTGCTATGTTTATTTTACAATCTATTTTACAATGTTTATTGTAAAATACGTGGATTTGCAGTGGTCCAGCCCTGCAGACACATACCAAGTGACTCCAACTGGGGGTCCCTCCTGTTCTCTCCCACTGCCTGGATCAGGAGAGGGCACAGGCTCCAACCCCAGCAGTTGGGTGTGGAGTGTTTGTGTGTTTTCTGATAACACAGACTGGTGATCTTCTCCCCTCATATTTAATTTGCCCTCTATCCTTATCAAATGCCTCTTGGCATTGCTTCCCTCCCAGCCTGCAGCTTCCCCCTCTTTTACCAACCCCCTGTGACAAGATACAAGTGCTGAGAGATGTAGTAAAGATGTAGTAAAGATACCCCTGTTGGGTAAGGAGAGCCCTGGGCTTTCTCATGGGCTCATTTTTTTTGTTTTCCATGGTCAGGAATTTATTGTTGATCTTAATCTTAGGCCAGGCAACGTCACTGCACGGGGACAATAAATGCTCTTGAACAGTCTGCTGATGGATTTATTTGTCTTCTCATGAGGAGTCCATGAGGGGTAGGAGGGCCTGGGAGAGGGGAGTTTCCGTTGGTGCCTTTGCATCTCTTTGAAACAGTGGTGGGATGGAACACGTGGGAATGGCAGTTCTGGCTCAAAGGAAGTACTTGAGACTTCTACAAGCCTCTCTCCAGCTCTAATTCCCAGCCCCAGGTTTTACCCTGGTTCCTTGGCATGCTGGGCAGCCACGAGTATCCCTTGCCATTCCTGCCCAGTGGTTCCCAGCTTCGAGTCTTTATGCCCAGTGTTCTCCTCTGGGGGTGAGTTTAGGCACAAAACAAACACAGCCTAAATGTCTAAAGCCCCTGCTTGGGATGTGAGGGATCTTCTTCCAGGTCGTGTGTGCTGTGGCTTCTTCCTCTGTGCAGTGGGGATAAGAAATTGCTCCCACATCTCAGGGTGGTGCAGGATTTAATTACTGTTTGTACCTCTCTGGGGCCCCTGATCCACTGCTCCAGGCTGTTCTCAACCCACACTCCCCTTCCAGGCACCTCAGAGCCAGTGCCTGTGGATCTATGGCAGTGACCAGCCCCCTTGGAGCAGGATGGACAGTGGGACACTGGGATGGCTCTGCTGTCTGATGTGTTTTCATCCATCCCATCAAAGTGGTGTCTCCCAGGCTGGACTCGCCTGGAAGGAGCTTTCTTTGCTTCCCTGGGAGGTTTGTGTGGCTGAGAGGTCGCAGGCTCTGGAATAACTCTCAGTTCCAGGTCTCTGACTTGCAGCAGGGTGTTATTGCCTGGGAAGACAATCAGTGCTGGAGTGACCTACAGGACAAACAGGCAAGGGGTGCAAACACCAAACCAGGCACTGGGAGAGCAGAGTGCATCCATCAGGGAAGGTGAGAGAGGAAAAGGAACCGGTGTGACAGGACTGTGTGGGGAAGCTGCTGCTGGATTTAAAAGTGCTGTCCCGGGCAGAGCTGATTTCCAGGGACACTGATAAGGCAACACTAAACTCTGTCCCGAGCACAGGAACAAATGGATCATTAGCAGTGTCAAAGAATCAAGCAGGAGGAGAACTCCCAGGTGGTGGAAGTTGTGAGATAAACTCTGTGCCCTCACGCTGCAGGTCCCAAACCTCAGCAGGCAGTGGGCCAGCAGCACATGTTGGGTGCATTATGCACCAGTGTGGCTTCTCCTGAAGCCTCTGGCTTTCACAGCGAGCTGTGGGGGTGTTCTGGTGATTCCTTAAGGCTACTCCAAACTTCCAGGGTGGTTTCCAGGTGGTTTTCTCAGCAGAGCTTCCAAGGGACCTTCCCAGAGCTCACGGAAGGGAGACCCACCAGTGTCTGTGGCACTGAGATCAGACATGCCTTGAGAAGCTCTGAGGCAGCTGGATTTGTGTGTTAAGGTGCTCTGCACCACGGAGGATCAGAACCAAAATCAACAGCAACACCTCCCCTCCCAGCTCAAGGCTCACAGGTCCAGAGAAGGCCGTTTTCCAAATGTCTCCAAATGAAATCCTCTTGTGGTTTGGGACATAAACACTGCCTGGCCAGAACTGGTGTTGCTTTGCTTGCAGAAAAGCACAAAGGTTTGTTTCAGAAAGAAAAAGGGCTTTGTGGACGCCCTTGAATTGCCTTTTCCTGTGGGTAATGACCAACAAAG